GATATCACCAAATCTTCATTATGATAGAATTTTAAAATCATTTGAAACAATGCGATAATACATAAGAATTTACAAGATAGAGGTGTATCAATTGCTAATGTCTTGCGTTTATGAATTTAAAACCTGTTTTGTGCTGTTCAAGTACTTCAAATGGTGAATTTAACTAATTTTCCATATAACGAACTTTTTATCGGCATTTAGCAACATCGTTAACCTCTTAATGATCCGTTAATTTTCAACGGTCATAAAAGTGTCTATTTTGCCAAATACACGTATTTGATTAGTGCTAGTATCTAGTTTAAAATAAACTATTTACAATTACTTTAAAAATATCCTGGTACTGCTATATGGTGTGTAAAATGAGTAATAAAATGTTTTCCGGGCAAAAGAAATGAATTAGTTTTATTCTTAATGGCGCAAAATAGAGAGCGAAAACTCACCCCGTCATTTTCACGGGACCGAGAATGAAGGGGTTAAATAGAGGTCCGACTGTATTTTGTATTTTTGACTATCTAAACATAGGGCAGGGGTGTGTCCAGACATTTTGTGAAAGGTCCGTTTTTCGTGAAAAAATTATTCACATTCTTTCAACCAGGGTCCGCTTTTAAAAATTTGTGCAAATAGGGTCCGTTATTGCAAAAAAAAAATTTTTCAAGGAGTTTTTAAATTGTAAAGATATGCAAGATTATGCTCAACACTGTAAAATTATAATTAAGAAAATTAAATTTTAAAAAATAAACAACAATTGCTGCTTCTAAATTAGAGATGCAACATACAAATATTTGGTATTTAGCCTATACTGCTGAAAGCAGAATATTAATTTCGGACGAATAATGGAAGAATCGTCTGCCGAAGACAAAACTTAATTCGTTTACATCCATCTTTCTTGTTTTCTGCCCTGGAAAGGGTTTATTCGATTCACAAAATAATAATGAAGATAAACAAATTTGTGAAGGGTCCGATTAAAAGAAAAATCATTTTGTGAAGGGTCCGTTTTTGAGTTAAAATATTTTGTGAAGAGCCCGTTTTTATGAAACGATATTTTGTGAAGGGTCCGTTAACGGACCCAAATTTCTTCTAAACAGACACCTGTAGGGGTATAGACATAATTTGGAAAATAGAGTCCTGATACTGAGGAGTGGTCGAGAGATGCGGTTGTTTATGCATACCCGTCAAGTCTCCTGTTTGCGGACGCAAATGCGGTTTTGTGTTACATTCGGGAGCAAATTTCACCCAAAACATGATTCAGGAGTTCTCGTCTTCTGGATGAGGTTCAAAATTACAAGGCTACGGAGCTGAACATCAGTAGTCGCAAAACCAATATTGGATCGGTTGGTAAAATCTCCGTTATTTTATTTCTCCGACGTTTGCAGGTATGACAAAGGTTTATTAAAGTAATTGCTTGAAATTATGAAAAGAAATTCTGAGAAAAACGGTTTTTTTTTCGAAGTGAAAAATCCCAGCTAAAAATAAACTGAAGTTTTTCTACAAAATTGAAGTAATTTTTTTTGCCTTTCTAGAGTTTAAAGCAGATTTTTCGCAGTGCAATCTTGACTGTAAAAGCACTGCAGTTATTTTGCAGTCAAGGTGAAGTAATTTATTTCAAAAAAACTTTTAGTTATTGTCTACAAAATTATACAGTAGTTTAAGTGAGGTCTTTTTAAAAACCATGAATTAAAGAAAAAGAGAGAGAAAAAAAAACTGAAACTTTAAATCCGTGGTTATTTTGCAGATTATTAATTTGAAGCATTCTACTGCTTTGTTATAAAATTGAAAGAGTTTGATGTCTTCAAGCTTGCTTTCCTCGTTGGTAACTCAACTTTTTATAATTTTTATGTCTTTTTTTTTCCTTTTGATTATATATTAATTTCTTATATTTAGGTAAACATTCTAAACATGTAAATTGATAAAGTACACTGTCTTCACTCATAAAAGAATAATTCACAAAATACATACTTGATTTATAATTGTAATTAGTTATAGTTGAGAAGCGTCTTAAACTTTTTTTAAGTAAGATTTTGATACATAGTTTCAAGTAGGTCAAAAATTAGACGTTTAAAAATTATACTACTGTTTATTAACTGCAGTAATTCGACAGTGTTTCCAGTTTCAAAAATTCTGAAGCGGAATTGGCCAAATCAACATACTTCAAACTGCTTTTTTTGTATATTTTTTGCAGTTTATTTTTAGCCTTTAGATAAAATAAATAAACAAATAAATAACTTACTCCTGGACCGGATGGGAGGTGGAGTTGAGGGTGAAGCAGCAACTGGTGCAGGAGCTGATTCAAGAACTGATTCATAAACCAATTCAGGAACTGATTCAGAAATTGATTCAGAGACTGAATCAGAAACTGACTCAGAGACTGAATCAGAATCTGACTCAGAGACTGAACCAGAATCTGATTCAGAGACTGAATCAGAATCTGATCCAGAGACTGATTCAGAACTTGAATCAGAAACTGAATCGGAGGCTGAATCAGAACTTGAATCATTCTCACCTTCCTCCATCTGGCTCAGGTATCGGTCGACTCGTTGCTGACGCAGCTAAAAATAGATTTAACACATTATTGCATCTTGTATTGTCTACGTATATGTAAAGAATGGAGAATAAGTTTAGGGGGGGGGGAAAGGGATGCATAGAGTTTTCAACAAAAAATAAACACATAGCTGCCTACATGGATAAGAAAAAATCCAGTAGAATTTACAAAATAATATAAATTCAATAATAATTTACGTATAATGTACAAAATATTCTACACATAAGGAATTTTTATAGTCATCAAAATAGAAAAACTGCACTAATTTCTAGTTATGACTTCACATTAAACATAACTTGAAATGTTATCATGGGTCTGTCCAGACATTTTGTGAAGGGTCCGTTTTTGTAAAATTGTGAAAAAAATGACTCGTAATTTGTGAGTAGAAAATAAACGTTAAGTCACATTCTTTCGACCAGGGCCCGCTTTTGTGAATGTGTGCAAATCGGGTCCGTTATTGCAAAAAAACTTAGGCAAAGAGTTTTTAAATTGTAAAGGCAAACAAGATTATGCTCAACACTGTAAATATATAATTAAAAAAATTAAATTTAAAAAAATAAAGAGCAATTGCAGCTACTAAATTAGCGATGCAACATATAAATATTTGGTATTTAGCCTATACTGCTTAACGCAGAATATTGTTTTCGGACGAATAAAGGAAGAAGCGTCTGCGGAAGACAAAAATTAGTTTGTTTAACATCTGTCTTTCTTCCTGGGAAGGGTTTATTCGATTAACAAAACAATAATGATGATGAACAAATTTATGAAGGATCCGAATAAAAGAAAACTCATTTTGTGAAGGGTCCGTTTTTATGAAAATATTTTTTGTGAAGGGTCCATTTTTATGAAAGGATTTTTTGTGAAGGGTCCGTTAACGGACCCAAATTTCTTTTAAACAGACCCCTGGTACTACAGTTTTTCCCAAACTTATGAATTTTGTATACCCTTTCAACATATCGAGCTTATCTCAGAGAAATTGCCCGCAGGGGTCTGTCTAGGTTTTTTTTAGAGGTACCTATTTTGTGAAAATTTAGACATAATTTGTGAAATTTATAAATTATATTAAAAAATCAACACAAAAATCTGGTAAAATAAGTAAATATTTTCAAAAATAATATTTTTACCGTTTTTCCTAAAATTGAATTTGTGAAACTACTGCTTAACGGCAGTAAATTTACCCTGGACAGACCCCTGTGCAGGCATAAAAAAAATTAATCATTTATACAGTAAAACTGTTGTATTCGAAAAGGTTATTACTTACTTCTTTTTGTTCAGTGCGCCTTCTTTTGCCTGACGACGACTCCTAAATATAAAGACATTTTTTTTATTAATAATCAAGAGAAAAAATTATTGAATTCAAGTACTGAATAAAAAAAAATTTAATAATCCACTGTAATTCTGATATTTAGTAATATTATTAGATGGAAGTTGTTACATTTATTTAAGTTTCTATACAAAATGAAAACGTTTTGGAGTCGATACATTTTCCTTTTTTTTGTTATTTTTGGATATAAAACATATTTGTCAAACTTTAATGAACGTAGAACAAGTATTGCATTGCTTTATATTTTTTGAAACGACTCATAATAAATTTAAAGAGTAAAACATTGTTTTAGTTCAATATTTTTACTTCTATTTAAGTCATGTCATAAGGCATTTTTAGCGCAATTTTTGCATTTTAAGGGCATTTTTTGCACTTTTAAGGGCATTTTCTGCAGTTCATAAGGGCATTAATTGAGATTTTTTAGGTCATCAAAATCCGGGCTCTATTAATAACCCTTGTTGAACAGTAGACCCAATTCTAGGACTATGCTCCGAGGCCTTCTAATTTTGAATACAATCCAGAAGTCAAGGCAGCGTGCGGTAGCTAGATTTTTAACAAAAAGTAAGCACCTTTTAAGCACTCAAAAAATATTTTAATCTTTTTCCAAAACAAAACATAATTGGGTTCTGTGTTGCAATAAAAAATATTTTTTTCCTATCATTTTAAGTTCTTAATTTAAAAACATGAAATTAATAAAATTCAAAAACATTAGCTAGTTTCTAATAAATGTCGCAGTGTAAATTGTGAAAGTCGTGCGTTTTTTGCAATATAATAGAACGACATTGGAAACGGTTAAAAAAATAAATCGTTTTTTTAAAAGATAGAAAATTAAGCCATTTTTGAAAAAATCACGAATAAGAAAAGAAAATGTTAATCATAAACCTTTAAGCAACTTTAATAAATAGCAGCTTAATAATAAAAGTTTTTTTCGTAAAAATTTGACGATTGCGTCTTTTAAAAAAAATACTAGCATTAATTTTTTTTACAAAGAATTTATATAATAAAATCGCATTTTTTTATAAATTGAATAAATTGTTTATGAATTAAAGGTATCACAAGATAATGCATATTTTAGGAACTTCAGTTTAAAAAAGTATATCAGCACACGTAAAAAGCTGGATAATAAAATAAAAATAATAAATAGGGGAGAGTGGGGATGAATGGGACGGGGGATGAATGGGACAATTGAATTTTTTGTGCCTATATATTGTTTCAAATGTTTGATACTTCACTTAGCAGATGGCAGCACCCAGCCTAATTTACAGACTAACACCAAAATCAAAAGCTTGCATGCTTGTTTGAACAGGACCTCAAAGTGTGTTTTTCTATATCAAAAGTAAGATTTTTTGTTTTCATTACAATATAGTTTTTAAAAAAAATATTTACTTGAAGCTAATAATGTTACAATATATTAAAAATCTACTTATTCTAGTGTCAATATCAATTTGAATAGAGAAAATTCACTTCCTTTTTTTAGGCCTACTTTTTAATTTATTTCAACAAGTGGGTACAGGGTTGAATGGGACAATTGTCTGGGGGTATAATGGGACAGTCCCATTCATCCCCTTCTTAATATAACTTGAAAATTTTGCATCACTATCTTGCAATATTCAACTTAATTTCTCAGTGTATTTCTTTTCCATTATTTTAACAAATTTGTTAATATTACACTAACAAAACTTTGTAACTAGCAAAACTTTATAAATATATATTTCAAAATAATAAAAAATTTATATCTTGAAATTAATTTTTTGTTAAGTTTATTAGTTGAAATTTTGAGTTTTTTTTCTCATCAGCTTCAAACTAAATACTTTTTTAATATATACTGCATTTTAATCTATTTCAAATAATTTACTTTTTATAAAAAGTTAATATTTTATTTATTTTGTAATACCTATACTTATATACAGCAAAGCGTATTGCTATGTAATTAAATTATTTTACATTTAACTTTCATAGGATGCCTCGAAACTGGAAAAAGAAAACAGATAGAGTAAGAGCTTCGATACCCACAATTAAAGAAGCTGTCAATGAAGTGCTTACAAAAGGAATGTCGATAAGAAATGTTGCAAAAGCTTTTAATATGTCAAAATCAACATTGAGTCGTCATGTGACAGTAGCAAAACAGATTCCTACTACAGAATCGTATGAGCCCAACCCAGATATTGGTAATAGAAGAATATTTTCAGTTAATGAAGAAAATGAACTGTGTGGGTATTTGAAAACCTGTTCCCAAATGTGCTATGGGTTAACAACTATTCAAACAAGGAAACTTGCATTTGAATTTGCCAATTTCTTGGGAAAGGCGCCCGTTGCATGGCAAGAAAATGAAATTGCTGGTAAAGATTGGTTGTCAGGATTTCTAGATAGACAAAGAGAATTATCTATCCGCACCCCCGAAAGTACGAGTCAGGCAAGAGCATGTAGCTTCAACAAAAACAACGTGTCCATTTTTTTCCAGAAATTAGAAGGTCTGCTGCAAAAATATAAATTTGAACCAGCAGATATTTATAACTGCGATGAAACAGGCTTAAGTACAGTGACTGAATGTCCTAAAATTATAGCTACAAAAGGAACAAAACAAGTTGGCCAAATTACATCAGCAGAACGGGGGCAATTAGTTACGATGTTAAATTTCATAAATGCCATTGGAAATACAATCCCACCTGTTTATGTTTTTCCTCGGGTTAATTTTAAGAATTTTATGATTGAAAATGGACCATCAGGAAGTTTAGGTCTAGCTCATCCAAGTGGCTGGATGACTGCTGAAAATTTTCGGAAGTCAATGGAACATTTTGTCAAATACACCAAATGCACTAAAGAAAAACCCGTATTATTGATAATCATGACAGTCATGTTAATATTCCAGTCATTTCCTTTGCAAAAGAGAATGGTGTTGTGATTTTAACATTTCCTCCACATTGTACACATCGAATGCAACCACTGGATGTCGCAGTTTACAGTGCCTTCAAAATGAAGTATCGCATTGCGCAAAATAACTGGATGACAAACAATCCAGGAAAGACCATGAGCATTTATAACATTGCTAAGCTTTCGAATGAAGCATTTACATTTGGATTTTCAAAAGAGAATATAATTTCTTCTTTCAATAGAACTGGCATATATCCCTACAATTCAGAAATTTTCTCTAATACCGACTTTCTTGCAGCCTTGGTGACAGATAGGCCTATAGCCAGCGAAGTCCCAACAGAACCATGCTCAAGTCTTTCTGGACCACCTGAAGAAATTTCTGTGTGTTCACAAAGTCCTCTCACAGGTATTCGACCATACCCAAAGGCCTCTCCCAGAAAGGCAGGGCGTAAAGGAAGAAAACGAGGAAGGTGCCGTGTGCTGACAGATACGCCAGAAAAGCTAGTTATTGAACAACAAGAGATGGCAAAAGTAAAGAAATTTAGAGTGTCAAAGAGTAAAAAGCCAAGAAAGGGATTTAAAAGGCTGCAATTTAGTAGTTCTGAATCCGATGTAGATGATCCTGTTTATTCAAACAGTACAGATGATGAAATTAATATGGATTATGATCCTGTCCTTGACAGTTTAGAGAAAGACATTAATATCGGAGACTACCTGCTAACAAGAGTAGCTGGTAAAAAAGCTATTCACTTTTATATTTCTGAAGTATTAAATGTTAGTTCTAAGGACGAATTTGAAGTAAAATTTTTAAAACGAGTAGGAGCAAACAAATTTGTTCACGGAAATGAAATTTCAGATATTTTGTTGTCGGATGTCGAATGCAAACTTCCCCAACCTATCTCCACTGGTGGATCAGAAAGGCAAATAACTCAACTAAGTTTTCAAGTTGATTTTAATTCATACAATGTTAAATAAATTGTTATTTCGTTTCTATTTGAACTTTTCTATTACTGATGTTTTGTATTTGTAATATTTTTACTTGTAATACTTTTATTTGTTAATATTTTGCATTTGTAATATTTTTATTTGTAAATCCTTTGTATTGTTAAGTAAACAATTACTACTTATCATCTGAATCAAAGTCAAATAAAGTATTTCTTCATTTCATAAACTTGTCCCATTCATCCCCCTTACTGTCCCGTTCATCCCCATCATTGGGATGAATGGGACAAAAAACATACTTTTTAAGAAGCAATATTTTTGCAAGTTAAAACTACAGCTGATTGATTGAGTGGATCTTTATGGATAGCTGATGATTCAAATTATCGTATGGATAAAGTGAAAAAATTGAAAAGTGTTAATTTTCAATAATATTGATCATAAAGTGAAATTTGTCCCATTCATCCCCACTCTCCCCTATAAAATAATAATAAAATAAATAATAAAGGTTTAAAATATATTAATTAATTTTGGGTGTGCATTCTAATAAGATAATTCCTGCATTCTAATAAGAAAATTAAGATCCAATTCAATAATCATTTAGTTTATTCAGAGTGCGTACCCAAATCTTTCACCAAAAAATAAGTACCTTTTAAGAACTTTTTAAGCACTCAAAAAATATTTTTAAGCACTATATACATTAACAAAATGCAAAATAATTTTCAAACACTTGACGTGATCATGATAAAATAACATAGTAATAAATAACATTTAAATAACATTTCTGATAAAATAACATTTTCGACATAGAACACTAGTCTTGATTATATTATTAACCATTAAAAAATGATCGAGAGATTTTTCGGCTCGATTTCAGAGGGTGGAAGATGAAGCTTGTGCCGATTTTATACGCTATGGATCGACGATAGGTCGAAATGGATTGTGGTTGAATGAATTGTGAAAGCGTTGAATAGAACAATGTGAAAAGCACACTTTTGCAAAATACGAGGCGAAAATGGGCACGGTAAAGAAAAGAAAAAATCTCATTTTCGAAAAGGGAAAATGAAGCACTTTTTAAAAACACCCAACGAAAAAAGCACCTTTAGAGAAGGGCTTCAATAGGCACCTTTAAGCACTTTTTAAAAACTCTACACACCATGTTATTTGATGAAAAAAGCTTTTGGTAAAATTTTTAAAAAGCTCTTACATATTTTGCAAATCACCCACAACAATTCTTGAAGGCTCCATCAAAACATTTTGAGCGTTTATGTCGGTTTCAGAGCGATTTATGATGGTACAAACATCATCCAATATTTTCCAATATGTATTATTGAATTATGATATGCCAGCAAACTTCCATGACGGAAAATGCTACTTTAATACTATGTTGGTTTAACCAGGGGTCTGTCCAGACATTTTGTGAAAGGTCCGTTTTTCGTGAAATTGTGAAAAAATTACTCACATTTTTTCAATCAGGGTCCGCTTTTATGAATTTGTGCAAAAAGAGTTCGTTATTGCAAAAAAAAAAAAAAACTTTTTCAAGGCGTTTTTAAATTGTAAAGACATGATAATGCTCAACACTGTTAAATTATAATTTAAAAAATTAAAATTTAAAAAATGAACAACAATTGCTGCTTCTAAATTAGAAATCCAACATACAAATATTTGGTATTTAGCCTACACTGCTGAACGCAGAATATTCATTTCGGACGAATAATGGAAGAATCGTCTGCCGAAGACAAAACTTAATTCGTTTACATCCATCTTTCTTGTTTTCTGCCCTGGAAAGGGTTTATTCGATTAACAAAATAATGAAGGTAAACAAATTTGTGAAGGGTCCGATAAAAAGAAAAAATCATTTTGTGAAGGGTCCGTTTTTGAGTTAAAATATTTTGTGAAGGGTCCGTTTTTATGGAAAGATATTTTGTGAAGGGTCCGTTAACGGACCCAAATTTCTTTTAAACAGACCCCTGTTAACCATCAAGAAAGGTTTGATTTTCATGGACCAACAATCCACGATGATTCCAACTGTACATTTCCAGGATGGCGTAATGGAAATTTCTGTTGGTTCTCGGGCATAAACCATTAAAATTGTTTTTTTAATTTTTTTTTATGTTGGGCCATCATAAATCAGTCCGAATGTCTAAATTGGGATGATGGTTACATATGCTGAATACCATCAAAATTATAATTTTTGATAATAATATTGATAATAAATTATTGATGGTTTGCATCAAGGTTATGCTGGGTCCATCAATGGATAACAAAACATTTTGACTTGGATATGTACGGTCCCTGGCTACGTTATTAAAGGGCACTCTCAGATTCTAAGCAAAATCCTAATTATCACGTGATATTATACAGTTTTTTTTTTATTCTTTTTACGCGACTGAAATCGGCTTGCACTTTTTTACGATCGCGTATCGTATTGGTTAAATTCAACGATATATAATATAAATTCGACCATTGGATAAATTAGACAATATATTATATAAATATAGAATACTTATTATATCACCAGGGGTCTGTTTAGAAGAAATTTGGGTCCGTTAACGGACCCTTCACAAAATATCTTTTCATGAAAACGGACCCTTCACAAAATATTTTAACTTAAAAACGGACCCTTCACAAAATAATTTATCTTTAAATCGGACCCTTCACAAATTTGTTTATCTTCATTATTGTTTTGTTAATCGAATAAACCCTTCCCAGGAAGGGGGGGGGGAAGAAAGACAGACGTAAACGAACTAAATTTTGTCTTCCGCAGACGCTTCTTCCTTTATTCGTCCGAAATTAATATTCTGCGTTCAGCAGTATAGGCTAAATACCAAATATTTGTATGTTGCATCGCTTATTTAGTAGCTGCATTTGCTGTTTATTTTTTAAAATTTTAATTTTTTTAAATTTTAATTTTACAGCATTGAGCATAATCTTGTATGTCTTTGCAATTTAGAAACTCCTTGAAAAAGTATTTTTTTTTTGCTGTAACGGACCCTATTTGCACAGCGGACCCTGGTCAAAAGAATGTGACTTAACGTTTATTTTATATTCACAAATTACGAGTTATTTTTTCACAATTTTACAACAAACGGACCTTTCACAAAATGTCTGGACAGACCCATGATCACGTATTATATTAGTATATTCAGGGTGGCCACTCAAATTAGGTTATAAATTTCCCTGATTTTTCTAGTAAAAATCTTAAAAATGTCCAGGTCAGAGCGTCTTTTTTTTCTTTTAAAGTGTAGATGGGTGCAAGAAAAGTTTCAATACTGTAAGGTATTTTGCTTAAAATGTTTTTTTTTTTAATATATCATCTTGAATAGATATGGTGGAAACAATATGTTTAGTTTGCAGAAAATAATGCTCTTAATGAAAAAAAATTTTTTTTGAAAGAGTTAAGTAGTTTTTGCACAAAATGTACCAAATAGCAAATACAGAGTCGTGACAAACAGAAGCCTTGGAAAAATACTGTTCAATATATTTTCATTAAGCAAAAGAAAAAAATTCCAGGCGATTATACATCTATAAATTTGTATATTTATTTACATTTATAGTTATATTTATTACATTTAGAGCCCTTTTATAATGTGTTTTTATCTAAAGAGTGCTCTTGATAAAATTCATTGATATAATTTTCTTGAGATTAATATCTAAAATCAAATGTCTAGATAATGTTGTTTGTTTTGAATTAGCACTATTTTTTATGAGATATTCAGTATTTGTAAACGCTAAATTGTCAAATTTCTTATTCTATAGAAAAAAAACTAGGTAAACTTATTTAAATTTTATTCTTTTTTTTTCTCATTTGAAATTAGAATATTTAAAGAATTCCACATGGTCTCTTAGTTTAGATTAGTTAATTTTTCTTGTTTTGTTTTTACAACTGGGCAATTCCATGATGTCGGACCTAAAATACCCTAAACATAAATTTCTTTAAAAAAAAATAATAAAAAATAAAAAAAACTATCTTATAAAAGATAAATTTATATTCATCAAATTTTCATACTAAATATTTAGTACATCATAATCTATCGAAAAAACAATTTGCTTGATAAAAACTGATTATAAGTTCAAATTAAATGCACTAAATTGTGGGTGTCGGATGTAAATTGCAAGAAAGCAAAAAATTATTACTCATATACAAATTGTCCAAACTGTGTGAACTTGTTTGTAATTTAAATGTAAACTTGACAGAATTTTGAAGTTGACATTCGAATAAAAAATTATATGCAATTCTTAACTTGTAAAATTACAATAAATGTTTTTCATTTATAATATATATGTTTTTCGTTACATGTTTTTCATCTTGTAAAAGTTAGTTGAAAAATCACTCATTTTAATTTTAACTGCGCAACATATAATAATAACAATGTAAATAAATAGAACTATATTTAAATAATATTTCCTTAAATTTAATAATTTTAAAAACCCTGGAATAAAAAAACTGCTATTTTTTTCATTTTTTTCTTAAAAAAAAATTTGGGGAAAAATGGCAAAAAGCTTCATTATTTTTATATACAATAAAAAATTAGTTTGAAAAAATGTCACTGTATATTAAGGAACAAACAAACAAAAATGAAAAAAAAAAATATAAAAATTTTATCTGGGAGAAAAAAATTGCACAGGAAAAATTATAATTTAATAGCTTTATTGCCTTAATAAAATTAAATAATCGTTTTGAATAGTTCATACAATCTATTATGTTTGATGCATTAAAGCAGATATTAACCAATATACATTTTACTTGTATTTAGTGGAATAGTTAATGGTAAACAAGAAAGAGCATATTGTAGAATTAAAAATGTGTCAAATTTAATATAAAATTTTATATGAATTCTACAATAAATGTTTCTATAGTTCAAATTTTGTTTTTTTTCTTTCAAATAAAAACATTTAGATTTTTTTATTTTCTAAGTTTATGCATTATTTAACATTTTTAGTGAGTTTTTTTGGGTAAAAGGAGAAACAGTTTCGGAAATATCTCTGGAATGTAAGCAACATTTACAAGTTTTTGACATTGTGATTTATAAACAATACGAATTTTGAATCAAAAATTAAATATTTACCAACAAAACAGTAAAGTTAAATGTTAGCATCTAGTTAGTTCGTAAAAGCGCTGT